CAAAAAATGTAGCTGTTACGTGTGCCTTAATTGTTAAAGATGCTAAATAATCGAAAAAGCATTTTATTGTTGCTATAAGGCATCTCATCCCCGTTCTGTCCCTGAAAATCCCATGAAAAAAAAAAATAACTTTCCAACTGGAACATTTCCAACTTTTTAGATCGAAAGGTTTCTTCAATAATAAGCCGTTTCTAGAAGTGCTAAACTTTTTGTAGCAACTACTTTTGTTTTGTTTTGCCTTTTTTTCACCATTGCTTTTATTTCAGTGAACATTGTGCACCACAATATTTTAAGAAAGTGCCATTTAACTATGTTAGTTCAGTAAAGTATATAGAGTCGAGCAGTATTTTTTAAAGTTGCTCGTTGATCCTTTGCCTCACTTGTTGTTTTAAGCAAAATCCTGCTGGTAATTTTTGACAACTCTTAGTCCATCCAAGATCTTAATTCCTGGTTAAATTAATGAATAATAAAATAGTCTGGGAATAAAGTATCCAACTGTTATTGTTTAGTTAAGATGAATTGGCTGTTTGTCCTAGTTTGCCGTCTACATCTTTCGTACTTCACTAAATTACAGAACTACAGCAATTTCTTCAATCAACTTAAAATATGTGTTCACATGCTCCATTTGGTATCAATAATGTCCATTCTTTAAGCTTCAAGAAACTGCAAATACAACTCGAATATGAAAAAAAAACGTGCCAGTGATTTAGTAAAATGTGAAAACTCGGAAGGCTAACAAACTCGAAAACACGTTCCACTTTCCTCAACCGAACTCGTACAGCTGGATAGTCTGCTTTAGAACTGGATATTCCTAATGACTGCAGGTCAGTTTTGGAATGAAAATCATGAACACAACATTCTGGCATTCTGGCAGGTTATAACATGGTAAAGGCTCTCTGCTGAGTCAAGGGTTTTTTCCTGTGAACCAGACCTTTCTAAGCGTCACGAGCACCAAAATAAGAGCAGTATGAAGCAAAGACAAGAGTAAAGGGATTAAACCAAATTAATTGTTGTGAGAAAAAACCACCTGCTTCATGAACGACTTATCAAGAAAAAAAAACCAAGCTCCAGCTTTAATAAGCTGAAACAACTCCGACAGACACACATTTTGGTGTCGGCAGAACCTTAAACGACAAGGATGAGATGAATTACCTTACCGCAATGTCCTTTCGTCCAATTTCAGAGTCATCCTACATGGTTAAACGTTTTAATCTTCATCCCAACTGTGAAGCAGCACTTCCCAAGGGCTTACCCTTCTCACTCAAATCCATTCTATAGTGTAAAAACTCCAGCAGCCACAACTTTTCTTTTTCGCTTCGACTACTATATGTCCTTGCGTCCCTTCTTTTCGAAATGTCAGTTACCGCCGACTGCCATTAACTGACAGTTTATCTCCACGGAGTGAGTGAAATAGATTGCCTGGATACCTTTCCTAAGGAACCATCGTGAGTGTCCGATCACCATCTAATCATCAGTAGAAACAAACAATTAACAACCAAGTTTTTAATATGCTGCCATTTATGCATTAATGTTTCATTCAAGAAATTGTTACGCAAGCAGTTCTTCAATTTTTTTCATTTACCACTTCCTACAAATTGACAACAATTAAAAAGTATACATACCAAACAAATTTCTCGAGATTGCTGACCATCTGCAAACAACGGTGCAACACCGACAAGTGTCAGTATCCTTCGTCATCGCACGTCTCGCCAAAAAATCAACGGCATGCGACGCAAATACCACTTTGTTAACCACTAGGAAACAGTAGCTACGTCCGTCAACCTTACTGCTAACCTCCGGAAAAGATCTAGGTCCAGGCAACGTAGCTGTATACGAAAGAAACAACCGACAAACAAACCCAGCCGCACTGCATCCTAGATTCCCCCACCTCCATGTCCTGCTTCCTCTTTTGTCTTTCCCTCATCGCCAATACTACTGACCCTCCTACCACGAACGGCAGTACAACTGCACCCAGATAACTTTTACAACACGACCCAAATACTTCAAACAACCCTGGTGAAGACCTACCCTGGAAAAAAAGTCCAACTTTTATTTAATAACCCCTGTTACGCGAAATACCACCAGAACCAGTGACTAGTTTCTAAAGCAAAAGATGTCATTAGATATCTAAATCTAAGGTCACAGCTTTAATAATGTCATCTCTAAAATAACAAATTACAAAACACAGAAAGCACTGCCAAAGCTTCAGATCCCCTCAGTCATATCAAATAAATTCCACCGCCCAGCTACCGTCTGCCAGCAGACCAGAAGCCATAAAATGATTCACTGTAAAAAAAGAGGAAGTATGGTCTTACAAAAACCGATTTTTGAACTGTATTTTAATCTGATATTTTAGCGGAAGTTATACTTGCTAACAATATAAACCAGGCGTCCATTTTATAACCGATTTACCAGACGTCAATACACTGATATGAATGCATTACCGGGACAGGATACATTTTATCAACTTACATATACGCATCAAAACCGTTAAAATGCATAAAAACGCAAAAAGCAACAGGTAATATGCTGGTCTTATAAAACGAAAACAGGAAAGTAACAAGAACTACTGCTGTCACATAACTAATGTGATGTTACACGTTTTCACCAGTTTTTGACTATTCGACCAAAAACTAGATAAAGACTCCCTTTCTAATTGCGATCAAAAAAATCAAAAAGACTTATGAAGCCACTTTCCAGAAAAAAAAAAAAACATTTTTGAAAGATCGAAAATGACAACGTCAGGTGTCCGGGAAATTGAAAAACTGACAAACATCATACAGAAATTGAGCACAGTTGAGATGTAACTCGAATCTCAACACAAAAAAAGGATAAAATCCGCCCGTAATAAATTACTAGCGCAGAAAATTTAAAAATTAAAGCATCATGGACTAAATTTCGTGCAATCGTAAGTTTATAAAAACAAGCAAAAAACCCGTTGGCTTGAAGAAAAACAGTAACCACTTAAATATTCAAAGAAAAATCAATCTTCTTGTCAACCTATTAAAGGACATTAGCCAAAGAGTTCTTTACAAACAATAAAACAACCAGAAAATATGGACAACTGAGTCAACGATCAATAATATCACCATCTTGAAGTTCAAATTTTAAATCCCATACATCGCTTTCAACAATAATAAACATTTTTCTTATAAAACTGTTTCAAGAAAAATAGGGAATACGTCATTCGATACCGCATCTCTCCGAAGAGATGTTATAACTGCTCACAAACATGTTTGGAACAAAAAGAGGACAAATTTAACCTCTTTAACAGGCAAGTAAACAAGGAAGACTATAAATTAATATGAACTGCACAAAAAATGGCAGTTTGATGTACTCAAAACGAAAAAATGAATAACATTTTGCGTTAAGAGTAGAACGACTGCAGGCAGATTAAGCGAACCCTAAACAATAAACTGCTAGCAGAAAGTAAAACAAACAACTTTTTCGGAAGATACTCGTAAACCCACCATGAAAGCATTTAGTACGCTAGTAGACGTTGCAAAGTAGTCATCAAAGGCTCACTCAGGTTTGCTGACGTTACAACCGCTCGGAACATGTTTTCATCAGCCTGAAACCCTTGGAGCCTGTAGTAAGCAACAATGTCCTGCATAACTGTAATAACAGTATCTTCACCTGAGTACTTCTCTGCACGAAACTTTAACGCATACTGGTAGTTTTTCAACAGCAGTGTTTCTTCACCACAAAAAATTTTTAAACTCTAAGAACTGCAAAATGTAGCTTTTTTCACGGAAATACTTTTTGAAACACTGTAACTTCATGTATCTATTAGATTGAATCATTAAGCACCCATAGAAAATAAAACACGTTTCTGGCAAATTCTTACTACAATTGAAACTTTCATAAAACTGTGGCAAGAATTCGATCTGTAACTTACATGGAGATACTTAACAATCTGAATAAGCCTGTTTTTTGTATTTTCTGCATCTATAGCATCTTCAAAGGCTCCTTTATGGAAAGCTTCAACAATAATTGTTAGAATCCGAGGCAAGTTCGAATTGTTTTCCCCCAGAACCAATGGACTATTACTAAAACAGAAAAAATTATGCATTTATTTTAAAAACGATGATTCAAGCCAAACTACCGGATAGCAAAGTTCCACAAACCTTTCCACAAGATCGGCAAAATAACCATATACGTACGGCGTCTCATCTGTATCTTCCCAAATAGGTAACCAATTCAGAAACGCAGGAATAACCTTGAAAAAGAACAGGACCTCTATACTTGAAAAATCTGAGCGCTCATTCCTCAAAAAAAAAAAAAAAAAAAAAAAAAAAAAAAA